TGTGCCTTAACGTACTCCTCGGTAGGGACAACAGTACCAACATCACAGGTTGCCGTAAGGATTAAAAGCACACATGTAAAATGCTTAGAAGAGTGTCTGGCATGTGGTTAAGTGCTCTGTGAATGTTGCTGCTAGTTTACGTCATTCCCGGAAGATGGGCTTTTGTTAAAAGACAAGACCCCATCCACTAATATGGCTCAAAGTCCACCTTCCAGGAGGACTCTGATTTCTGGTCTACTCAGTGTAAACCAATGCCCGGACCTCTAGTTGCCACCTCTGCACAAGGCCTTCTTCCTCAGGGTCCAGGGAAGGTGTCCTTTGCTTCATCTTCCACCTGCCTTGCCCCAGGGTCAGACTGCAGATGCCAACACTGGGACCTTGCACTTGCCCCAGGGATGGAGAGGACTTCCTGTGCCAATGAGAAAAAGCTCTCCGAAACGACAGCATGGTGTCAGGATCTCGTTGGTGGAGCCTGTCATGGGTGAGAGGGTCAAAGATTGTGTGTCCGTCCCCCAAGGGCAGGGAGCTCGGTGCAATCTCTGCATCAGCTCCAGGGATATGAATGAGCTGGAGATGCTGCAGAACCCATTAGGAGAGGGGGATGTGGCGGCACTGGTGCGTGGCGCCGTCCTCTGGGCTGGGCCAGGAACTGCTGCAGGTTTTGGGAAGGAAGTCCTCTGAGGGCTTCACCCTGGGTTCACTGGGTCCACCTGACATGCCTGGGATGGCACCAGGCAACGGAGAGGGGAGTCGCTGGGCTAGCGGGTGGTGACACTGGAGTGGCCCTCGTAGTCTTCCCAACGTCCCGCGGTCCCGCGTGCGCCTGCTGCTTGAAGTGAAGCCGCTGGGGCAGTAGCAGGAACCCCTACCCCTCTGGCGAGGGCTGCTCCACAGCCTGCAGGGCAACGCGAAGAACCGGCAGAGAGGAAACAGTTGAGCTGATTATACTGAGGAAGGAACCACAAAAACGCAAGACAGACACTGAACATGGCCTTCTTTTGAAGAACAAAAGCCAAGAAAATTGGCTCACCAATGAGAATTAAGTGATAATAATGTACTGCACAGAAATCAAAACCAATTCTAAGCCAGCTCACTCAGAAAAATACAGAATCCTGAAGAGTAAAACTGAATGAGGTGAGACTTTGAAGAGTGAACATTTTACTTTAAAATGCTTTGTGAAGTGACTGGAGCGCAGGCAGAGATGAAACGCGCGGCCCTGGGAGAAGGCTTGTCCTCGGCTTGCATGTGCTTCCTGGCCGCACCGGGTGCCCTGGAAGCTTCTGCCAGGCCCTCCAGTCCCGCAGGAGATAGCGAGGGCGGCTGTGTCCCAGGCCAGAGGTCCCCTCGGCTGTTACAAGTGCTGCTTTCTTGAGGCTCCACAAGCCACGATTGGAATTTAAACCTCAATGTGAACCTTAGGGGTCTAGACAATTTCGGATTCAATCGGGTCATGCTAGATTTATCTTGCTCTGTCTAGGTTCGACCCTGGGGAATCTCCTCTGCCATCCCCTCCTTCAACCCCCCGGGACCACCCAGGGGCACCGCGTGCTTCAGGAAGAACTCAGCTAGGCTTTCCGCTCTTCACTTGATTGCTATTTGCAGACAGCACGGCCCCAGGTCGAAGGACAAGGAAAGACAGAACCAGCAAGGAGAGGGCCTGGATCGCTCTGGGTCCCAGGAAGAGACCGAGGGTACACTCAAATGGGGTCATCGAGGGTTTAACAAAGAGACCACTTGTAAAGGGACTGAGAGAGTTGGGGGAACCCACAAAGGAAGACACAGTACCCAGGGCAATAGCCCCTGCTCCTGGCTGGGACCAGAGGCCAGCAGGGGCCCACAGCAAGGGACTACAGTGAAGTCCCAGCAGCCCGGCACGGACGGCCCCGGGGAATCGGTGACTGGCCCCCCGCTCTCCCGCCCTCTGATGTCCTGTGGGGGCCTCCCACTGATAGAAGGCCAGGGAGACCATGAGTGCGGTCCCTGGAGATGAGCCTCCCGGAGCGGAGAGGGCAGAGCAGGGCAGAGCGGCTCGGAGGGGCAGATGGAAGGCAGCCAGTCCAGGGGTGTTTCCCAGAGGCCACAGCTTCTTGGTCTCCAGCCAAGTGCAACCATTATAGGACACAACCTCCCCGGCCAATTTCAAGGCTCTGCTTACTGCTGGGAATGCATGTTTGAACAAAGCCTTTATTCTCTCTATTCCAACAGCGGGGCTGGAATTTAAAAAGCTTCATTTTCAAGACTGGCTGCTTTTGATGTGTCTAACCTGGAACTTACAATATGGAGTCAAATGGAATTATTTAAACAAAGCAGTTCAGTGATAAGCACATGTTTTGGTCTCTTGCTCCTTTCCCCTCGCAACACCCCATAGCATACCTGCTCAAAAGGGAAGGGCGGCCCTGGGGCCACCAGTGTAGCCTCGCGGAGCTCCCATCCCCCCGGTCTTCGTCTCTTTGGCCTGCACCTTCATCTGGGTGTGTCGGGGCACAGGCCACGGAGGGCAGGCTCCCCCTCAGCCGGGCCCGGGGCCAGCCCCCCGCAGCTCATCCTTCCTCTGACACCAGCTCCCGGTTTGGCAGAACCATGTGTTGGCGTCCAGGGTTCTTGAGTAATTATACTTTGTTTTCTTTCTGCTCCCTTCCCCCCAACCCATCTCCCTTGCTCCTCTGATTTAAGCCCTTTTCTGATAGCATCTTGTGTTCTCCTCAGCTGAACTGGTCCTCAGCCCCAAGCCTGCGTTTATCAATTTTATCTCCTGCCTTGACTTGTCTGCTCTTCAAGTTGTGGCGTGATCAGCATTTGCACGCCTTGGCAAGGACGCCTGCTCTGTCCTGTCCTGGTGTCCCTCTGGGTCCTGCAAAGCCCGTCCCTCCACGCTGTGCCCCGGAGAGCTCTCAGTGATGGCTACCAATGCCTTGGAGTTGGCCTATTGGTCACCGAAAACCATTCGGCACCAGAAGAGCTGCTTTGTTTCACAGCTATGAAAGCAAATGAAGAGAGCGAGGCCACATGTCCCCAGACAGTAAAGAGGTACAACAGTTGGGGGAGAAAGCTCAGATATGGCCTGGCCCAGGTGTTCCATACAAATAAATAACAAATCAAAATAATGTGAAAATTCCCTTTAGAAAGAGCGAGCTAAGCTTCTATCAAAATGATTCTACATAAATAAAATGAAGGTCTAGACAGATGAGGGCTGACAGAATGATTTTATGACGGGAAAGATGGCTGGCCTGGCTTGGTGCTGGGGAGAAAATGTGCAGACACAAGAACAAGTTATTAATCGACTTCACCTTTCACTCAGTGCCTAGTTCTGGCCCCTCGGCCACACTTACCGAGCAGAATCGCTAATTCAAGGCCAAAGAGAAATGTGGGCAGAAATTTGGATAATATTAAAGTTAAAATCAGACTCCTCTAATACGTGATACAAAAGACTGTATCGCTAGGAAAGTAAGAGCATTTCAGATACAGGGAATATTCCATTTTCAGGCTCAGGGGATGAGCAGAATCAAAGCCACTGTGTCACTTGGCTTTTTGGCGAGGAGAGCAGTGGTCAGCTCTTACCCCTGCCTTCAGGAGGACTACTAGAGAAGGGAAATCTCCACTTAGCTAATGAGGCTGGGCTTCTCAGCAGGTAAATAGAACATACTCCTCGAAGACTGGCTCACTAAACCCTGACAGAAGGCGTAAAGCTCAGGAGATGGCTTATGGGCTCCTGGTAGGACTGGAGGTAATAACTAGTAAGGGGGAAAGACCGGGAAGGAGCTATGCCAACTCCAGTTTTAAAATAAAGCATTTAAAGCAGGTACACTTTAGCAGGCGGATCCCCCCAGGGAAGCACACTGGAGGCACTAAGAAGGTCCTGACAGAGCTGCTCAGCCAGGGCCAACACAGGCGGGTGCTGGCTTTGCCCGGTTCTCAAGTGCAACACTGTCATCCACATTGATCCCGAGAAGTACTTCTATCACCATCAGCCGCTGAGTGGATTTATATGCAACTAGTACGTGCTCCGCAGGCCAGTTGTGCATCATTTGGGAGGTCTAAGACAATCCCATGGGGGGAGGTGGGCTGCAACTAGGTTATTACTTTAAGGGGAGGTAAAAGCAAATGCAAATAGCTTCTTTAGAATTTGTTTGGAGGGCCAGGCTAAGCATCTCTTCACCCAGTTAGACCTCAAATGACAAAGTTATTTGCCCAGGTGGAAAGGAGATACCTAATAACACCCAGGGTAATGATGTATTTTCCCCTGTACCCAGCTTCATGACCTCCCCGCCAAAGCTATGTGCCTACCTTCGCAGAAGCAGGCCAAACTCTTAATTTGCACGAGGGCTTCAAGGACCTTATTCTATCCATCTCTTGTTAACATAAAAATTAACGTGCATGGGTAACATCTGTTTTTTATTGATTCAATCAATATATTGGGAATTTAGCAGCAAGTTAATGGCAAGCAGTTACAAAATCTCCTACTATTTTTCTACATTTAAAATAAGTTGTCTTAAATACTCTATAGCAACCTAAAATCACAAGAACACATGGGAATGGCTGAAGCGCTTCTGCTGTTATGCCTCTGGCAAGTTTATTAGTGATTTCCTAACAAAATCTTCCAGTGCCAAGAGCACATAATTATTCGGAACCTCCACTACCATATCCGGCTCTCATTTTCTCCTACAAATAATTGTGCCTAAATATAAGAATCTGAAGGAAAACGGAGCAAGCATGCCCACCGCCTTGCTTTGAGGACCTGTACTCCTCTAAACAACTCTCGAAAACCCCTTGGGTTGGTTGCGGCCACAGCCCTCCATGAAGCCGGGTGGCTGCTGGCCTTTAACTGCAGGCTGCCGGGGACGGGCCTGCCTTCGCGGTGCAGTTGGTGCAAACACATGGCAGGGCTCAGCGGGGCTAAGCGGCAAAAGGCTCCTCCTGGTCCTGTCCTCTCCCCTCCATCGCCTCGTCTTAGCGCCAGCAGGAGCGGCTCTGTGTTTGCACCGTGCATCGGTGAAGGACACTTAGAGTTTCTTTTTGGTTCTAGGCATGGCATTGGATTTGGCAATGTATTTGGTTGCTGTCCCTTGGCTTGAAGTCATGGGGGATTTCTCTGGCTCTGCCTTGAAGCCACCTGGAATGTGTCTGCTAGATGTGGAACGTGCACACTTCGTGTCCAAGTTGTCCGCGTTTTCCTTCTTTCGGGTCACAGGGAATTTCTTTACACAAGCCGTGGACTGGAAATAAAAGAAAAGGCCTGGATTAACTTTCAGACAAGAAGCAATAGACACCAGTTCAAAGAAGCAAGGGACCGCAAAGTTGCCCAGGATCTGCAAGGTGGAGCGCTCTCCAGAGGGGAGACATAATCACACCACAAAGCTGCTATTAAATGCCAGAGTAAGGTCCTTTAGCGCCTTCAAGAAAAGAGGCTTGTTTAGTGTTCGGTGTAGCACAATTTCAGATCATCTGCCACACAAAATCAAAGTAAATGTCTACAACATGTGCATAGGGAAGTCGGCCAGGACAGAAGCACACCCACTGCATCTTTACCAGATTTCTAGGCCGGCTCTGCCACACCGTTCTCTGTGCTGACTCCGGGGACTGGCTTCTAATCCCAGTCACTCCACTCGGGCAGGTCCACGGACCTCTCAGAGTCTCGATGCCACACGGGTAAACGGGGACCATGCATTTGCACGTTTCCCACGTGGGTTCACTCTGAGAATGCACGAAGATGGTGGCTGTGAAAGTGCTTCTTTAAAGTACAAACCAAGTAGGAGGGATCTCAATAGGCAATTGTGTTTTCTCAGGTCACCTCACCCCACGGCAGAGGAAATGGTCTTCGATTCTGCTGTCATGAGGGAAGCAGAGTCCATTTTGCCCTTAGACCCATTTTAGAAGTGATCACTTCTCCTGAAATGAAGGTGAGCACAGAACAGAACAGAAAGAGCGGAGAATGTCTTAGGAGACGGGGACACAGCAGGGTGGGGGATGAGACACCGGAGAATAGATGCAGTAGGCCTCACATACACAGAACCGTCTGGAAAGGGCTCAGATGTTTAACCCTCTGGTGAATGCAAAGTTACTCTACATAGGAGTTGATAATCAAGTTAGCAATTTTCAAAGGATGTGAAAAGATTACAGGCAACACACTACAAATAAACCTGGTTTCTTTGATGACTCAGGCTCTTGTGATACCAGTGGCCATGTTTTATACACGGTAGTAGGCACTTAATATAGATTTGCCCGATGTAACAAGTGACCTCCCAGGGCCCCAGCAGAACTTCAGGTCATTTATGATTTTGGACAGCTATATTTAGAGAAAGAGAAAGAGAAAATTCACCTGATGTGTGCTGTATTGCAGACAGCCCTGAGATATGTGCCTCTTCAGAACATCACTCGTGTATGGCTTCGTAACAGTGTATGCTAATTCTTGAGCTCGTATATTTGTATATTGAAAAATTAGTCTACATTTGGAAATGTAAAAAAGTCCTTTTCTCCATAGATTTTTTTTCCCAACAAAATTTCTAGGTTGCTTCCGTGTGTATTCCTTCACGAAACAGAAAATACTGAAAATGCATTAGCGTTCGGCAGTACAGCCTATACCCTCTCACTGAGAATGCCCACGTGCCACAAGGGGGTGAGAGTCAGCTCCCCTGATGTTCCCACGTCCAGTGGAGAGAAGCTGCTTTGCTGAATGCAGCACTGATCCCTAAGACAGGAAACCTATCTTGGAAATTTCAGTTCATGAAAGTTTAATTCACTTGACATACAAATCCTATTAAAAGGCGAATCTCAGTGTAACCTTCTCCCTTTTGATATTTCCACCTTTTGAGCTATCAAAAGTAGTCGAGGAAATGTTTTTCAACGTGTCCACTACAACTACTGTTCTCTAGAGTAGGAACAGAGACTCTGGCGTCTTCTTTTTAATGCGTGCAAATTCATATCTGGCTTAACACTTCCATTCTTCTCCACGGTTCCATTTGTTAGTGGACTTGAGTCATGAAAGTAGACTAGAAGTTGCATCACCAGGAAGAAATACTCAGAAACAGTCTCTGTGGGCAGGGGTAGTGATGCAGATTAGTTTTTCCAAAATCACTAGAGGCTCTGGTATTTTCTTCTTGGATAAGATATCTTAAGATAATCCTCAGAACTTCCTGGCAAAGGGGAAGGGAAAAGGAAACTAAACCAAAATGTTTGCTTACTTCAGTGCAGAAACATGATATTTCTCAGTTTCATTCCAGAGCAAGATGAGAAAATGATATTCCTCGCCTACATTTCTTTATTTTATTTATTCATATCCAATTTTAGTGATATATTTTTAAAATAGATGGCACACCCCCATGATTTAATATTCACAGTGTTAAAAATCTCCCTGCCTCCCAGTTAACTCAGCTCTGCCCCACATCAAACACAACCAATATTATCAATTTACAGTGTACATTTCCAGAGAGAGGTCATGCATCTTCAAGCAAATACTAAGTGGAACCAAACTGAATTGGTAGTCATTTCTGCAGGTCAAAATAATGGCAATTGCATATGGTTCAGTCCAATCCATATATTGACATGCTTTCTTCTCCCTTTTTTTACACAAATGGTAGCCCACTATAAGCACTCTTTTACATCTTGATTTTTTTCAACTAATGATTGTCTTGAGGGTCCTTCTGTGTCCATACGTAAAAAAGGGTGCTCATTCTTCTTTTCGGCAATGCAGTCTTCTCTTGTTTGAAGGGACTACAATTTATTTAGCCGGTCCCTTCACAGTGAGCATTCAGGTTGTTTCCAAACTTTTCCTAGTACAATTAGTGCTGCTGTGAATAATCTTGCATTTGTGTCATTTTGTGGGTGTGCAAGTATGTCTACAGGAGATATATTTTAGAAGTGGGACTCCTGGGTCAAAACTACAAATCCATATTTTGTAGTTTTGGATTTGTAGTTTTGTAGTTTTGAAGTTTTGTAGTGGATTTGTAGTTTTGAAAGCTACTGCCGTATCGCCTTTCCACTGCAGCTGTACCGACCTATACTCTTGCCAGCAACATATGAGTGCCTGTTTTCTTATTTCTTTCTCAATTTGGTATTTAATACATATTCAAATTAATACAGTCATCTATATTTTAATCGAACTCCAAGTTGGTCTAAAACTGGCTGCACTGCAACAAATCTCAATACTTGTTCTACTCTCCGGTGACATCAATGTCAATCTACTCACCTTTATGCGAATGTTTACTGCAAACGCTTAGAAGCTTCTGTGTATATGTGTGTACCTTGTAAGATGTTTTGTGTGTGTTTGTGTGGGTGTGTGCACGCACACGTACACTGTACCGTTTCTCTTTGCTAATTTGCAGTTGCGTTAAGTTTAGGATGCCACTGTTTAGGAATCAGAATTGTAAGAGCTTTCCTGAAGACTCTGAGTCTCCCCTCTTAAATATCACCTCATTGAAATTGTGCTCTGACGTTAACAAAACACGGGTGCAGGCTGGCCCTCATGGTGTCTGTCCTTCAGACTGAGCTGTAGCTTTCTTCACCAAGAGCCATGCCTCTCACCTCCCTGAACACAAATGGCCAAGGCAAATTCCAGCTTCTAGGCTTTTCTCTAGAAATAGAAACAAATCTTAATGTTTCAGGGATTTCCTCTGCAGGTTACAGGTTATCTAAATTTTACGTTTCTCTTTTTCTTCTCTCATAGTTGAGGGGATTCCTCAGGGATCTATGCTGTCACTGATGCAATTTACAGTTTTGTAAGTAACATGACAGAGAAATGAAAAGTGAAATTGCCAAGGCTATAGGAATTACTAAGATCTTCCAGGTCATAAAAGGCAAATAGAAGGTGGGGATCTCCTGTAAGATTGTACATAGGGGGAGGAAGATGAGAGGGGAATTTCAATATTCTGGTCTGGGGGAAAAGAGTCTAAATGATCATTATGAGATTGTTGGCCATCATTATCAGTCCAAGAAAAGGATCTACAAATCACTGTAGATTGTTCTCTAAAGATACTGGTGTAACATACCCATTGCACGGGGATCAAGAAAACCTGGCTATCATCAGAAAGCATCTTAGAAACAAAGAAAAAAATCCTTCTATCCTTATATAAAATCATGAAGAATTCATACCTGAAACACTGCAATCAACTTGAACAGAGATAAAGGAAGCAGAGAAGGTTTACAGACAGGTTACTAATATGATTAATGGATGGAGGTTTCTTTGCGAGAGAGCTCTTCAGTCTAGAAATAGAAAGCCTAAGAGGACATATATAATCACAGTCTGTAGAATGCAGAAGGGGAGAGAGCTCAGCTCTGTGGAGCTAGACGGCGTCTCTGAGTGCTGCAGTCAGGATGGTTACACCAGGGGCTGGCCCAAGCAGCATTTCAGTTGTTCCTCAGCCTTGACAGACTCTTACCACTTGGGATGGTTGAAGAATAGTCAGTCCTTCTGGAGGCGGGATGATGGAAAAGATGACCTTACAAGTTTCCTCCAGTTTCATCTCTTAGTAACTCAGCACCTTTGGCCTGATTTCTCCAGCTTATATTATTCATCTTGGAAAGGGGCTCCATGTGTGCAAGGGGAGATATGTAACAAGAAAATTGGGCTAAATACACATATTTCGTTATTCACTGGCATAACTTTAACCTGATGAACTCATCTGGGGATAATGGATGCAAAACCTGTAAGCTCTAGGCATATCCCTGCAAGTTAATACCAGTACATGATTACTAGAAACTGTTACCATTTCTCTGAATTTTGAGTAAAATACATGCTATTTAAGTAAAGTGGTTTATCACCATAGCAACCATTTCTAGAGTCACACATTCAAATTATAGGCCTGCACAAGGTCCAAGTGACAGAACATTCTGATACAAGTTTTCAGCTCCATCTTTGCTCGCAATGGTCACCCACATTCTCTCACATTCCTATGGTTTTCAGAAGGAAGAAGGAAGGGTAAGAAAAACCAAAGGGAAGAAGAGTAATTAACTTCCAAATATATAGAGTTGTTTTATAAGGCTACCTACATAAATAGCTGGGCCTTGTAGGGAGTTAATGAAAATAAAATCTAACTTGCAAATTAGAGAGATATAAATTTCTCTTTTCTTTTTTAGTTAAAGTACAATTTACATACAGTAGAATGTACAAATCTCAAGTGTACAGTTTGATGAGTTTTGACAATACACAGACCTGTATAACCAACACCCCAATCAAGAAATAGAACAACTCCCCACAAATTTCCCAGGGGCCACATCCCAC